CATTCTTGCCTGATAAATCTAGCTTGGATTTTTTAAAGCATATTCATCGAGTCACTAAGAAAGCATACGTGTGTAAACTTTTGAGTACCAAGCCACGCTCAAGCCCTTGTTACAGCCATAGTTTCTATTGTAAGGCTACTAGTTTTAACAGCAAAGGCGCCATTCATCTCCTTGATGGTTTTCCCCCTTGAGCTTACTGTGAAGGCCCATGCAATTAGCTTGCCCCAAATTACTGAACCATCTGTGTAAATTACAGCATCACCTTTATCTGTGTTTTCGTCAATCAGTGTTCTGACTAAAGTGTCAACAATGAAAGGAATCTGCTCTCTACAGCTTTCATCTAGTGTGATATGGACTGTAATTTTATTGTTTGGAGAGGGAGGCATAATTATCCATTCATTTCCAAAATTAATATCAGTAAGGCGGCAAACATGTTCGATGGCATCCTCAGCCCGACCTATCCAGGATTTACCTCGTTTTTCCTCCGCAAGATATGGCCAAAGAATGTGGATTGTTTCCGTCTGATGTGGGCTGTCAGTTCTCTTCGTTGGTCATTTCTTTTAAGACGTCTTTCTTACTCTTTGTATCTGTCTATCGTATTCTCATCAATCGTCAAAATAAGCACACCTCAGCAGCTTCCAAATAATGTTTCACTTATCTCCCAACTGTCTATGAGTCACTTCCGTATATCAGGATAAGATCTATTTAGCTTTTATGAATTCTCTTTCTCGTCGTAACTGGCAAAGAAAGAATGGCCAGAAATTTTTTTTTAGGGGGGGGGGGGGGGGGGGTAAAATTCTGCATTTGCTTGAACAGTTCTGCCTACATTTAACCCCTTTCATACATCTTCCATCTGACGTTAACGGGGTACCCAACTACTTAAACGTATCAGCTTACTTGAGGATTGTCACTAATTCTTATCGAACAATTTAAGTGTTACTTACAAGTTTTCTGTTTAACACGGTTGTAGCAACAACTGTTGTTGCTACAACCGTGTCTAATTCCGTTGTTCGATTCTTACCCCACAACACACCAGTTTTTTTTTTTAAATCCCAGCTGTACAATACCGATTTTACGAAATGTGTGCATAACTTTAAATCAGCGCCTTAATATGGGATAGAAGAGTGTAGCAGATACGTAGACAGTCCTTTTTCAAGTCACAATTAAAATTTATTTTGTCATAGTTCTTCTACCTCATCTTTTATCTACACAACTCGAACACTTTAATAAAAGCTAGTTAATCAATTCTTGCTCGTAGTTAATCAACAGCCTCCCGTGAAGCCACATTAAAGTACCTAAGCCATGTTTATTTTTTATCAGCAACCTCCAACAAAGCAACATTGTTGATGGCTTCAAAGATTTCTAGATTGTTTACTTAACAACGATGACTGGCATTCGTGTGTTAAGATGCCCTTTGTATAAGCCTTCAGGATAATCTTAAAAATTTCATGACAATTGTTAATTAACTGTGACAATGTTGCCAGTAAGGCGTTTAAAAAATAAAGTACACTTGTGTAAAAATGTTAGAAAAGGTATTACATATTATAAAAGTTGTATAGTAAATAAAAGATAACCTGGTATCAGGTAATGGCATGGGAAGGAAAGGCGGCTTTGTAATAGTGATCTCATTAAAGTATATTACACTTAACAATCGATCAAGCAAATGACATCTTTGTAGTGGGGGGGGGGGGGGGGGGCGCAAATGGCTTTAGCTTTGTTTATGTGAATAGTAATATTCTACTAATAATAATGTGTATACGGGGAACAGCAAATGAATATAATAATATATTTAAAAATAAATGACATATTTGAACAAAAATTTAAAGAGAGAGAGAGAGAGAGAGAGAGAGAGAGAGAGAGAGAGAGAGAGAGCAGAGAGAGAGAGAGAGACTGTACATAGTTAGAGGAACCACATAGCACCTTTGCAGTTTTTCTAAGGGGTGGAGCTTCTTTCTCAAGAATTAATGGGGGTGAGGGAGGAGGGCTAGAATCCTCTAAAAATGGGGTGGGGGGGGGGACTTCAAAGTGCCCGAGCAACCATGTTCCGTTGCCTATACAAATGTGTTATCCTATAGTCTTGTGCAATTAAAACAAAATCTATGCAATATTAAATATCCACATGTAATTGGTAAGCATTAAAAATCCAACATCGAAAAAGTAAAACTGTATACACCCTAGAGGACTGAACATGACATCATTATTTAAATTACTGCTGCAACTACATCATCGATCAAGTCTGACTAGACTATAAAATTATGGATTTACAACCATATGCCTGGTGTACCAATCCTATAATAAAAGTCGTTGATATAAACCTTTTCTTTCATAAAAATAAGCACTGCTAGTTTGAATTTGGCAGATAAAAATTACAGCCCGTTCATGTTGTTTATGCCCCTTATAATTTGGCTGCTAGAAATGCGGGCGCTGGCAAGCGGAAGTAGGAAGTGTGATAGTAGAGGGCCAGGGCTAGAAGAGCAAGCAGACGACTGAGCTAGGAAACATGGCGAAGCTGGAGATCTGTACCGGGCTTCTTGTATTTCTTGTGATGTTCTTAGCAGGGCTGTCTTCTCAGACTCATGGTAGGTTGTGTTTCAAAAGTGCAAGCTTGTTTCACAAGGATGTAACCTAGGCGTTTTTAAATACTTCTGCATGCGGTATTAATAATATTCAAAAATTATATTAAATTAATTTGTTTAAATTAAATAAATATTGAAAATTAACTTACTTAAAATTATTATAAATAAGAAATTTTTATGGTATTCTTTCTAAAATTGCATACTCATTGTTATAATATAATTAAAACGTATGTGATCTGAAACTGATGAAATTATGTTTTGAAGGTTTTGTATGTGCTGTTTGAGTTAGTGAGTTCTGATTTTGATTTTGCAACTTTACTTTACTATAACCAGTCAGTCAGTAATTTTGTTTTTGGGTCTAAACTTGTAGAGGAATCAAATATCTGGTAAAAGTACTGGTATGGTGTCACTGATAAATCACGCTAACCCCAAAGTCTAAGTGGGCTCTTACGACACGCACGTGAAAAAAAAGATTAGTTATTAATAATTACGTTTTTTTTTTTTTACTTTTTAGGACTGGTAATCAGCGATTTATAGTAGTAACGCGCACTCTGGACTGTAAAGTAACTTACTTTACTTACACATAATGTTGAAATAATTATATTTATATTATATATCCGTAGTAGTAGTGTAATCAAGATACGAAAAGTTAAGAATTTATATTTAGAAAGAAAATACCTGCCACGATGTTGAGGTAAGTACTCATCAGTCCAGTTACCGTGACTTAAAGAATACTGAATTATCAATGCAGTTAACTATTTCATGATCCTCGAGTAGTACTAGTAGAGTGTTCGTTCCCTGCAGTGGACGGCTATAAAATCATTCTCATAGTTTTCGGACAATGGTACAAGAGGTGAGTTATGTAAGAGATTGAGGCCTCAGCCCATAATATGCCTAAAGCCAACAGTGGTAGTACTGGTAGAGTATGTATAGCCGCCGACCTTCATTGTAGAGAAGGCCCAAAACTTTAAATAAACCAATTATGATATCAGTTGTGCATTTTATCGTTGCTTCTCTCTCTCCATTCTTCGCTGTGCATCTCTGATGGATTCAAAGATTCATCATCATAAGACTTCTAGTGAGTTTGTTGTAAGACTTTGTCTCCTTTATCTTTACTAATATAAGACAGTTGGTCTCCAAAAATTGTATTAATTACTGATTAAGTGCTCCCGATGATCGTACTATTAAAACATGATTGATGAGACAACCGTTGTGTTTAGATTTACAGAGGATGGATGAAGATAGATAAATTACAAAGATGATAGCCTGGTATCTCTGGTTGCGTTAACCTCATTTCAAGACATAGAGCTATCATCATCTATGCACATATTTAGGTATAATCATCATCATGTAGCAGGTTCTTTGCAGCACGTCACTCTTATCACGGTCTGCCTAAAATTAAACTCCCAGTCTCTCGCCAGCTCTCCCGCTTTGTGAACTGTTATATTCAAGGAGCCACTTATATCCTGTGCCTGTCTTCATCTCGGTCTGCTCCTCTTTTATGGTACCATGCCTTCTGCTACTTTTTTCCGGTCTTTTGAGGCACTTGATACACCCAGAATATTTCCTGAAACAAGATGCTGTTTATGGGCCAATGGTCCTTGATGTTCAAGTCTTTTTGCAATGTCAGGACTCTCCTTCTGTGTCCAAGGGATTCTGATTTAGGTATACATAATAAACAAAAAAGTAATTGCGCCTCGTTGCTCACAGAAAAAAGTAGCAATATAGGAGGACACATTAGACAGTATAACAATTGCAAACTTTAGTTACCATGCCGGGAATTGATCCTTTCACAGTTACAGTTTGGACATGTATTCAGAACGGGAGAAAATTGGCCACCATGTGAGATTGAGAACCAGGGTTTGCTGGGGAAAAAACCACATGACAGTCTGTGACTGTGGCAAAGCTCTGCACCCCAAGGTAGAAGAGGATCGACTGAGTATGTAAGACAGCCTAGTCTCTTCCACAGTGGGACTCTACCAGTATCTGCATCCAGAAGTTCCTTCTCAAGAAACTATTTTGGCTGTGCACGCGGGGGAAAGGAAATGAAAGAGCTGACAGACTGGCCATGTCTGCAGTGGTTGGTGAAAGAAGTATGGACGGGGCAGACAAGGCATCCCAGAGTCTTTGAGATAAAAGAATCAGAGACAGTGAACTGCCTGTTGGACATGGGTATTAAATGAGATCAAGGATGCAGACACCAGTTGCAGGACCTACAACAAAAGTCAACTCATAAACAGTATCCATTGAGCACAGAGACACTGATGGCAGCTGCATTGAATGTAGCACAAATAGGTCAGATCCGTGTGCTAGGTTGTTGATACGGACAAGTAACTCTCATATCAATATCTGATAGCCACATGAAGTTTTAAAAAAACAGTCTGTCATGAGAATCGAACCAGAGTATGCCAGCAATCATAGCATTGTGACACCATTCACTAACCTCTGAATCATAGAGCTACACAGAGTTTTTCTCATAGGCCATGCCGTGTAGCATTGATAATCATGTCTATCCACAACCTTCTGTTTCATGTACTTTCAGTCAGTTCTGACACAGATCTTCCATGCCATGTTGTCAGACTGTCCATCATCTTCTCTCTCTGTCTTCCTCTGTCTCCTTTCCACTTCAAATTCTGACATGATATACTCCACTTTTCTCTTTTTCATGACATGACCAAAGAATGTAGATTGTCTCTTCCTGAAAGTTGATCTTGATGTCATAATGTCAAACTGTGCAGCATCTTCTCTCTCTTTCTCCCTATGCCTATTTTATCCTCCAGCTTTACCACTGTCATAAGGTAATCCAGAGTTTTCTCCTTCTCATGACATGGCCAAAGAATCTAGATTGTCTCTTTGTGACATGGGCAATCAATTCTCTTGAAGTGCCAGTTTCTTTTATGACAACTTCATAACTTTATCTGTTGTTTCTTCTTCTGTATAATTTTCCACTAGTTGGCCAACTATCCATAAACAGAAATAGTTAACAAGGCATAAATCCGTGGACATAATTCAAGTCACTGGGTTATAGTCATCTGAGAAATACGAGCTGTTAACCGTGACATTTATACATTTACAGGCTAATATTTTTATGACACACCCTGCAACAACCCTCCCCCTCTTCCCCCCCGCCCTTCTGATAGAAATCCCTTATCTCATTGAGGATTAGTGCTTGTCTTTCTTAGATCATACCATAAAGTCTATAATCATTTGGTTGTTTTCGTACAATTATTTGTAACTACATCCTGTATTTCTGTGTCACTTCGTGTTCCTGTTTGATTACACTTGCTATTTTTACCCTTTTTGCCTTATGTTGAGCTTGAACTTTTCTTGTTTCTTCTGCTAGTGAGAAAAACTCCTAACCAGCTAGCACTATACCCTTCTGTCCTTTACTGTCACCTGCAGTTCCCTCAGCAGCCTCCCTATACTATTAATTTCTATAATTCCCTTCCATGTGTTTTTAAGTGTACCTCTATTACTTATATTCCAAAATGACTTTTTAGTTATGTTATCAAGTTATCAAGTTTTCTAAATATGCCCCATACACAGCCAGCATCTTTTCCTCAAATCTTTATAATCTGGAATTTTAATTACCCCGCCTTAGTGGCTCAGTAGTTGAGCTGTTGGCTTTAAAAGCCTGATGTTTGTTTCTCTAGCGGGGCCATTGAGATCCCCAGATCTTAGTAATTGTTTGTTATTCTTCATGTCAGCAGTACTGATTTGTAATACCATATGTTGTTCACTTTGTTCTGCAGAGGCGCCAGTTAATGAGCGTTTAGGTTTGTTAGTAATTGTTTGTTATTCTCCATGTCAGCAGTACTGATTTGACGTTGGAGTTGAGTATTGGTTGACAGGTTATTATTGCTTCCCAACTTCTGCCTTTCATCTGCCAATGGAGTATAAGCTCTCAGTAAACTCAATCCAAGCTCTTTGTAGTCTCAGACACGATTGTTTGGATTTTTTAACTAAAGCTTTGCCATATAACCTTTGATACAAGCAGTTATCTAGACATTTCCCCCTTCTTGAATTCATGCTATTTAATATTCATCAATTTCCTTAGATATCTGTTTTTGAATGCATCCAGCTTTTATACCAAGTTAGCCTTTACTTCTGGTTAAAGTAAATTGGATAAATGAAACCTAAAGTATGTTAGGTTGAACACATGTCCACCAAGCCAGCAGGCTAAAAAGCTAACCAAAAAATGTTGACTGCAGTCAAGCTAATACAAGGGATTCCAGGAAAATTTGACTAAAAAGCTTAACCAAATGGGTAAGCAGCCAAAGGTTGCTCGACCGAAACATAACGTTATTTGTGTTGTTTTGTGCACGTTTTTCTGCTTCCCATCTGGTTAAGCTTTTTAGTCAAGTTTCCCTGGAATATCTTAAAAAGCTAACCAGCGTGCTGCTCCCAGGGATGTTGTTATGCTGGAAGTTAACAGTTTTTGTGCACTTTACACATGTTATAAAAATTGCTCTGTGGTTTGAACTTGAGAAGAATAGACTGCTACCCATACTAATTTTCAAAATTATACCTATGATAATATCTACAAAATCTAATACCACAAAGATAATATCTAACTCCTTCAGTAGCAAGAAGGTGTTATATTGAGAAAAGCTGAATATAACACAAACTGTGACTAGAAAGCTCAGTGTGAAGAATGAAAAGGGCATGCCTGAACACAACCCAATGTTTTGAACAAAGTCTTTATCAGTGGAGTACTAAATACAACACACACGTAGGAGGCTAGACGACAGCATATACATAGCCAAGGTTAAGGAAGTGAGACAACTGGCTAGATCGCTGGAGCAAGATTTTATGGCAGTATCCTAGATGTCCATTTTTGCCTTGTTAGTCAGAACTTGTGAAATGTTAATTGAACCCATTCTGTCTATGAAGTTGTTACTTTAACTATTTGGAACAAAGAGTTGAAGTAATAATTGGGGCAGTATAGGTTAGTGAAACGACTGGATAGATCATACAGAGCTCAGAAAAAGTATAACATATTAGTTGAAGTCAACAGATACAAAGTGGATTGTTTGGTACAGAATGGGTGAGTTCAACTTGAATCGAATCAAGTCAGGCCTTGCACCTGCATAACAAAATATATGATAATAATCAGTAGTCCTATCATACATTGTAAACTATTCCTGCTGCAACAGTATCTAATATAGCGCTGTCTACTTCAGTATCTATATATTTTTACGATCTATGAATACTGCACTTAGTCACAGGTGCCTGCAGTAATCTTGTCCTCCATTGGACTGTTAAATGGGTTTGTGCGGGATATTAACTGCTTGCTTTTACTGGCTGACTGCCAGAGGTTGAAATGCACAAGTAGATCTTATTCAAATAAGCTGTGTTGTAAAAAGTCCCAAGTGTTGGTTATAGGTTTGGGGTGGGTGGGAAGGGGAGGGGGTTGAATAGATCGGCTGTCTACTTTTAACAAGCATATAATAAAAGATTTGAAAGGGTTGCTAAAATCAGATGTCTTTGGCTGATATTAGCAGGTATTAATCTCTTCTCATCTTGATCCTCTAATACATTGTACTGTTGAGGTAAAGTATGATCTGCGGGGCGGTCCTTGTGTAGGTGCAGATACTATAGCTGTAAGCTGCAACAGGAAGTGCACACTGTCCCTGGGGGTCTCTGCGGGGAAGTGGTCAAGCTGTTTGCTTCATGTTAGGAAGGTTTGTTTCCAACGTCATTCAGTTAGCGGGTTCATTTTTTACAGAGATCCATAGGAATCGTCGCTGGAGGTTGTGCTCTGTGTGACGCTTTCGGCAGGCAGCTTTCTGTTCTGCGGAGAGACTGAGCCAAATGTGGTAAAACCCAGTGCAATCGTCCATTTAAAGGCAATTGCAGCAAAAATATTGTGGAAAGTAAAAGATAAAGGAGTCCTTTATACCAGGAACGTTTGGCATGTTGTGCTTATATTCTCATAGATCAGCTGGCACTCGAAGGTTAATGTGACTTTTACTTCCCGCAATACTTGGCACACTATTTTGGCTGGGTCTTTATGGAAGCCATTTATTTTTCAGAAATTGAATTGATGTGGATTTGTTGAACCTGAGACTTTCAGGCAAACAGGAAAGAGTCTAGCCACTGCACTTCTACAGCTGCTTGTTGTATTGAATTTTTTTTCTTCAAAACTTTATTCTAGACAAGTTGTCTACTTTTGTCCTTTTTTTTTTCTAGAATGGAACATAGCCCTTCAGCCATCTGTCTTCTCTAATTCTATTTTGTGTGGTTTTTCTAAATGTTAATAAGTTGCCTATAGTTTTTTGAAAAGATTGTCTTCAATTGGCTTTCTTCTACCTTTTAGCTGCCAATGGAGCATAGACCAACTCACGCTAAGCTTGTTTTTTGTGCGTGCTTAGAAAGTAGTTGTCGTTACGCTTAGTATATATGAGCATGTTAACTATTTTCTGGTCAAGTCACCTCAATCAATCAATCAGGTGCCGTCTCCACAATGAAGGTTGGATGCAATGGATCTCCAACAAGACCTGTCTCTTGCCCTTGATGTACACTCACTCATACTGCTGTTCGTCCATCTCTTGATGTTATCCTCCCACTTGTAACGCTGTCTGCCTTTTGTTCGCCTACCTTGAACCTTTCCCTCTAGGATGATCTTTACAAAATATTTCACTTGTCTCTTTTTTATTTCACCTAGCAACTCTCTTTTCATTCCCAATTTCCTCAGTACCTCTGTATTTGATAGCTTTTGTTTCCATGAAATACGACCTAATCTTCTGTATATCCACATCTCCAAGGAATTGATACGATTTTCCAGTTGTTTGTTCATTGTCCATGTCTCAAGTCACCTACAGCCTTTTAAAAACGTGTCTTAATTTGACTTCTTTTTTTGCCTAACATCCCAGTGGAGCATAGGCCCTTAGCCAACAACTGACACTGTCCTTTCTAGGATTTGTTAACGATGAATTGGGTTTTTCCACTCCAACATAGTTGTAGTTGTATTTAAACCCAGAATGTTGGCAGAGATTAATTTTATTCTGGACAAGCCTGTAGTCTTTTAAAAAAAAAAACAAGTTGTCTGCCCCTTTTCTCTCTTTTATTCTTTCGGTGGAGCATAGACTTTCAACCAACTTGCTTCAAGCCCTTTTTAGATTTGCTTAAATTTCCATGCCTTGTAAACTTTCATGCCTCTTAAGCTTTCATACCTCTTCAACTTTCATGCCCAGGATTATCTTTAAATGCTGTGATTTATGTTAACACTGGTTAACCTGAACCTCTTCTTCCTGTTACCAGCGCTGACATTTCCGTTCTTTCCATACCATTACAGTAGTTCAATTTTCAGGAAACAATAGAATCTATTATCCAGTCTTCCTTGTTGTTTAGATCATGAGCTATATCAGTATTGGTTTCTTCTTAGTTCTTTCTAAGAATCTTTGTACCATTCAAATTCAAAAGCCTCCAGTTTCTGCTTTGGGATTGTGAAATGGTATATGATAGAGCATTATATTACCATCACTGTAATTCTGGGCAAGTTGTCCAGATCTTCATCATGTGTTCTTTGCAGATGTTGATGGCAAAACTTTGAAAACTTGATCTTTCACAAGTTTCCTGTCTGCCATTTTTTCTGCCCACTGCGTCTTCAATGTCCTGTGTCCACAACTGCTGTATTGGTGACCCTTCCTGCTACTGCTGTGTTTGTCACCTCCCCAATGATGTTTTAGTCACCCCTGTCTCTTGTTCAGTGAATCCTTCCTTTACTGTTCCTTCCTAAATCACTGTTACAATATGACCAAAATATTTCAGCTTCTGTGACAGGCTGTGGAATCATTTTCTTCACTGTCAAGATCATGTAGAATGCTAGTTTGTTTTCATCTTCTCGGTTGTATTTTTCCTGTTCTCCTTCTTTTTTTTCCTCCACATCTCAAGCCATCTTCCTTCTTTTTTTTCTTTCTCCTCGCGTCTTTCTTCCCTACTTCATCTTTCCCCAGTCTACCTTTCTCCTCTAAATTTGTGGCTTCTGCACCCATTCCATTCTTCCCTGTGTCAGAGACATCCTATTCTTCTCTCAGGCTTGCTGTACCCTTACAGAAATACGTCATGTGACATCTGCAGAGATATACTCCTGTTAAAACATTCACACAGACCAACAGAAGCTGCACCCAGTCTAACACATGTGCTCCAGTTCTATAATTAGACATAAATACTGTGGGATAGTAACACTGTTTTCCTCAGCTTTGTTGTCTGCACAGCTTTCTTGTAGCAAGTGTAGTTTAAGTACTTTTCCCCTCTCTCTCTCTCTCTCTCTCTCTCTCTCTCTCTCTCTCTCTCTCTCTCTCTGCTCCTCCCTCTCCGCTCTAAGACAGAGCTGCTTACCTTTCACGACTCTTTGAAAAACAAGTTTCTTCTTTTCCCCACAATCGACTCATTCTTTCTGTCTCGCAAATCTTTTGTCCTCCCTAGATTTATTACAAATAGTCAAGTGAGGTTTGTTGTTGTCAAGCTGTAGGTATAATTCAAGCACATTCTGCATGTGTAATTAATATTTTGTTGTTGTCAGTAATGTTTTTTATTACCTACCAATCCCTGAGTGTTGGGATGTTAATTCTTGACTCTACTACCTACTAAAAGATATTTGCATGAAATAATGTACAATAGGAGTATGGTTAAGACAGGCCTGTGTGCCCAATTCTTAACTTTTGAAAAATGTTTGTTCTCTCTCTCTCTCTCTCTCTCTCTCTCTCTCTCTCTCTCTCCCACCTCACCCCCCTCCCCCCCCTTCTTTCTTGCCCCTCTCTCTAGGTACCTGTACTAGCTACCTGTACACTCATGCTTGTGGTATGCAGGAGTAGATAACTCAGCAGTATTATTAAACCATTAACCACAGATTTAAAACACTTGGCAGAAACATTTTATGTGCACTTTTTAGAAAGAGGTTTATCTATCAGTTCAGCTGTTTTCTGTAAAACCTTTCCATGGTTCAGCTTTTCTATCATGCTTTTTAAATTTGGTGTGATGTGGTGAATTTCGGATAGGTAGATAGTATCAGGGACTCCATATTCTGCAATATAAAGATGTGTGCAAGCAGGGCAGGAATGTTACAATGAATGGTAAAAATGGAAACACCCAAGAAGGTAAAGGGAGACCTAGAAGAAGATAGATTGAAGGGGTCACTGACAGCTTAAAACATCACATCATCACAGAATATTATGCAACCAAGCATGCCATCACTCGGCTACCTGTCACCCATTAAACTGATGTTTAGCTGCAAGGAGTATATATTGACAAAAGAAAAAGTAGAATTAGTTTGGTTCATGGGAGCAGGGTCAGCGGAGGTTGAGAATAAGAGGGGAAGCTGGGATAACAGAGAAGATGATTGGTGCAGATTAGGAGCTGAGCCTTTGAGAAGAAACATCAGATATTTGCGATGGCAACAGTGGTCCTGAATTCTCATGCACTTTTGACATGTTTGTTGACTTTTCAAAATATCATCCATAAATACTTGGATGACTTAGCCAAATGGTTTGGGCCAGACAAGATCACTGACCTGTTCCTGATTATGGTGGTCATGTGCAATGGCAAAACATGAAGCTTATACTTGTCAGCACAGCACAGGATAATGATGATGTATGTAAACTAATACATTGTATTTTTGTTTGCAGGATTAACAATTGATCCTAATGTGAGGCAGCTTGTGGTGGTAGAAGGCAGCAGGCAAACCCTGGACTGTTATGTTACCGTAGAACAACCGATATCTCCTAAACTCATTAACTGGACAGGCCCACCAAATGCTAACTTTGAAACGTAAGTAGCTCAGTGTGAGTTATGTGATAGGGTTATTCTCACAGCAATCCAGACACATCTGTAGGTGCTCAGTCTCCTCCACTCCACCGCAGTATATACATCCTTATCCCATGGCCAACACTGTTAATTTTATACTAGCTGACAGATCTGTCAGATGGCTGGTGTCGCTCTCATTCCTTGCTTTGCCGATATTTACTTCCAATCTTTAGTTTGCTAATTCCGTTTTTCCTTTCTGGAATGGGAGTACAAAGGTTCTCTTGCCTAGCTACTGAGTTAAGTGCTTGATGTGACACTGTGAACTGTGGATTCCTTTTATAGTTTTTTTTCCCTGTTGTGCCCTGTATTTGGTCAGTTATGTTAGGCATGGCTTGAATTTTTACACCATTGTGTGGAGTGCCAGATTTCGTAATTGACTGCTTGTATTAACAGTTGCCTACAATTCTTGTGTGAGACTGTTAGTGTTGGCATATCTGATGGCTACCTTATACATTTACTTTGAGTGTGTCGGCTTCAAGGTTTTGCTGGGACTGATGTTTTTCAAGCGGGACAGTTGACGAACATTTTGTCTGATATCCACTGGCACAGAAACAAGCAGTTATAAAGAGACCTGTCTGTAGCGACGTTGTAACCTCGACTAACGTCATCTTTACTTCTAAATCTCTCATTCTAAACAGAGTAGTTAGAGGATTCATTTTTGATAATCTTGGTATCAGCTGGGCTGCAATCACTTTTCAACAATCTAGTTCAGTGGTCTGCACCTGGGTGGTCGGGGGTGGTTCTAAGGTGAGCGCCAGGCAACTTTGAAAATGATTTGTGCTTGTAATAATCCATTATACTAAACAAAAAATATGTTTCAGTGTAACTATAAATGTATTTCCAACTATTTATAAAAGAAACAAACCAAGAACAGTTATGTGTTCTTGGGCAGTTTGCACATCTGCTGTTGAGAATCTCATTAATGTGATACAATGCGTTTAATTTAATATTTAGAACACATTCCTCCTCCTCCTCCCCCTCCCCCCCCCCCCCACATTTTGTTGTTTGGGTGAGGGGTGTGTGGGGGTCTTGTCATATTCTCAAAGGGGGCGCAATCTGAAAAAAAGATTGGGGACCACTGCTAAAATAATATATACTGGCTGACCAGAAGGTGTGGTCGTATTTAGTTGTCTTTTTATTTTTAAGGACTTCTTTCACATCGTTAATGTGCTGGCCATATAATGCTAGAGCTAAATTTTTATTGGCCAAGCGGCAGTGTGCGGATGATGGGGTTCATCATCGTGCTGACTTCCTGTACCTATTTTAGGTTGGAAGGACGTGAGAGACAAGGTCAGTTTTGGGGGAAAAGTCCACCTTAATGCGGATTCAAACTGTTGACCTTTGAACTGGCAGGGAAACAACCAGTTACTGCTCCCAGGGAAAATAATTACTAGATTATATTGATGCAAGTTTTTGTTGTCATTTTTCAAGCCATATGTAAATTTGCAGATATTGAAAGAAAGTCTATGTTGTATTCACAGCGTAGACACAGTTTGCGGGTATGTAAACGGCAGGTTAACTTTTCTGCTAAACTACCTTCATTAGCACATTGCATAAATATACACCACCACAAATACGAACAAGAATGCCAGTGTCATATAATGGTAATACGATTTAAAAAAAGTAAAGTAAGATAAAACATGTGTCTAGCACCTGTATAGCTGATGTACCGCTGGCATGAAAAGGCTGCTTATTTTTTTTTAAATGTATATTCCTGTCTAGGCACACGGAGACAGACAACAAACTCACCTATCACACAGTCCTGACCATTAATTCCTTTGAAGAAAGGTACGCAGGCACATACACCTGCGCTTTTTACGCTTCTGATGGAAAGAGGGAAGCCGCCATCAGCCTAGTGACAACAATAGGTAAATTTGTTTTGTTGTTGAAATTTTGGGTCTTCCCCCCAAAAAAATATATCTTTTTTTTAAAAAGAAAAACACCCATTTTTGTCAGTTCATTTTTTTTTTACGTATCCAGAAACCATGAGTTGTAAACCCTTTGGCTCAGTACTATGGATATCGCAACCCTTCGGCAGTGATTCCATTATAGGTACCATTAATCTGGGAGAAATGTGGCTTTTCTGCCTTCCCCCGGGAGTGAACCCGGACCACAAGGAGTTCGTCACCCGGCCGCCGCGAAAGTCAGGTTTAACCAACTTCGCTAGAGAGCCGGGCTTGTCAGTTCATAAAACCGTTACAATTCTATTTTCAAATATAAATAAACAAAATTATGCATTTATGAAATGGAATGGAGTATAAATCAGTAAAAACAAGTTCAGCAGAGAATCAGCTTGGAGACATCCTCCTGGGGTGAAATAAGTTGAATACTGTGACAAACCATGATGTCATAATTTCTATAAATAAAGCCACTTTATCACAGGAACACACCCACAAATGCTGGTTTCAGTAACTATAGCCATCGGCGGACCTATGAAACATTTGCGCTTGAAATCAATGTTCTTAGCACGGATTCTTGTAAACCGGTCACTATGGCTGCTCCAGTTAAGCGGCATTTAAAGGGGCATGTCCGAAAGTGCTGATTTGGGTACTTCCCAGGATGAAAAGTTTTATTAACTTTATAAAATTTCGGTTATTACTTTTATGCAAGCCAAAGTGGAGGAAATGGTTTAAGAAAAGAAAGCAAGAGGAAGACATCGATACAAGTGTGAGAGTAACATCAAGAGATGGATAAATATCTGTCTAAGAGAGTGTACATCAATAGCAAATGAGAGAGCATGTTGCAGATTGATTGTAACCAACATTTGTTATGGAGACAGCGTCTGATTGTTGAATTGAATGACAATTGTTAACTCTCTGTTGCCTAACTAAGCAGAATGGAATTTGTCAAAATGAGAAAGGGGACTGAGGCTACATGGTCTTGAAATGATTCTTAGCTTAGCCACCTTAAATGTAGTTAATAATCCACAATGCATTACTAGTTATAATTAATTGCAGTACGTATGATATGTTTGTATGCGTATATGTGTGACATGCTGGCGTGTGTAGGCATATGTGTGTATGTATGATTCTGTGTATGCATGGGTAACTGTATACGTTTGTGTGTATGTATCTGTGTGTAGGCGTGTGTCTGTTTGTCTGTATGGTGTCTGGGTGCGTGTCTGCGTGTCAGTCTGTGTGTGTGTGTTTTTATGTCTATCTGTATGTGTGGCTGCGTGTGTGTGTGATTGTATGTGGATATGTGCAGGGTGGCTTGGCTGCATGTTTGTCTGTGTGTGTGTGTGTCTGTTTGTGTGTATCTATGCTGTGTCTGTAGGTGTTTCTGCGTGTGTCTGTGTGTCTATGCCTGCGTGTGCCTGTAGCTGTGTGTTTCTCTGTGTGTTGTTTCGTGTGTATTTGTATGTTCAAATTTTTGATAATGTGTGTGTGTGTGCGTCTGCATGTGTGTGTCTGTGTGAGTATTTGTGCGTCTGTGGGTATGTTAGTATGTGTTTGTGTCCGTCTCTGTGTGTCAGTGTGTGTGTGTGCCATTTTGTGTCTGTAGGTGTGTATGGCTGCATGTGTATATGTGTCTGTCTGTGGCTGTGCGTGGCTTTGTGTGTATCTGTGTGAGTCTCTATCGGTGTGTCTATTATATTATGTCTGCGTGTCTCTGCTTGTGTCGGGTTATGCCTCTGTGTGCGTATGTCTGACTGTGCGTGTCTGTGTGTGTATATCTTTGTATGTGTGGGTGTGTTTCCCTGCCTGCGTGTGTGTATGTGTCCCCGTATGTGTGCCCTTGACTGCATGTGTGAGTGTCTGAATGTGTCTGGATTGTATGCGTGTGTGTTTTAGAGCGTGTGTATGAGTCTATGTATGTATGTATGTATGTTTTTATGTGAGTTTGTATGTATGTGAGTATGTATGTATGCATGTATGTATGCATGTATGTGTGTGTGTGTATGTATGTATGTATTATGTGAGTATGTATGTATGTATGTGTGCATGTTCGTATGTATGTGGATGTATGTGTGTACTTAGTGCCTATATTTTTGTGTGTAAGTGAGTCATTGGGCTTGTGTGTGTGTGTGTTCGCGCGTGAGCGTGCGTACATATTTTACCAGCCATGCTTTTGTTTTTGACTTCATATATATAATATGCATATTATTACATAAATATAACATGCTTAATTGATGAAATACAACTGCTGTACACTTAACCCCATAAGTAGGCAAGAATTTACAGGTATGGCCAGGTGACTTTAGCTAGTCTGTTTTGTTCAACTGTACACTTAACCCCATAAGTAGGCAAGAATTTACAGGTATGGCCAGGTGACTTCAGCTAGTCTATTTTGTTCAACTGTATACTTAACCCCATAAGTAGGCAAGAATTTACAGGTATGGCCAGGTGACTTCAGCTAGTCTATTTTGTTCAACTGTATACTTAACCCCATAAGTAGGCAAGAATTGACAGACATGGCCAGGTGACTTCAGTTAGTCTATTTTGTTCAACTGTACACTTAACCCCATAAGTAGGCAAGAATTTACAGGTATGGCCAGGTGACTTGAGTTAGTCTATCTTGTTCAACTGTACAGAGTAGTCCTGAGGCGAGACCGCAGTTTAAAAGACAGAAGCAGCTGCCAATTTACACAGAACGTCTTGACGGCACTAGAAAGCAGAGGCTTGGACTTGAGTGATGAAGCTTGCGTAGAGTCTGACTAAAGTCTCGTAATTAACTACATGGGACTCGACTTGTAGCTTCGCTGACTTGGCATGACTCGTTCTTCGCGGTCGGCCACTGTGAGATTTGATGATCATATAAAATAATGGGACAGCTTTTCAGTTTTCTGTATTTTTATTTCAGCTAATTACGTACAAAATCAAGTTGTTGTCTGCTGTTTTTGACATTATAACAAATAGTTTAATTCATAAGCATTGTCCTATGCATAACTTGCATTTGACTTGATACAGGAAGTGACTTGACTCGGGATTTGACTTGGATGCATACTTGAGACTTGACGGCAATGGCTTGAGACCTAACTCAGACTTGAAGAGTGACGACTTAGTCCAATGTCTGCTAGGCAGTGCTCCCGCACTAGATCCCCATGTCCATTCATGTCCTATACCCCGTTAGGTCAGTTTTCTTAGGGGGGGTGGGGGTGGGGGGGGTGCTCTCAAAGGAGCCTATTGTTTTAACCTTCGAACAGTGGTACAAGTCGCGACCCTGAAATAAATGTGGTCCTCATCACTTAACATTCCCAGAGACAGCAATGAGTGCACAACAAATGACATCCACTATGGAGATGGCTTAAGTTTTATATTTTTTACAAATAAATATTTCCAGAGGACAAGATTGAAGGAGAGTTCTTTTTTGGCAACAAGTCAGCTATTTTGCAGTGCACCTTGAGCTTCACAGATTTAGAATTGAAGGCGACTTTCAAGGAGTGGCTGAAAGATAATGTTTCAGTATCACATCTGATCAATCATGAGCAGTTCCACGATCAAGGCAATGGGACTCTTATTATATCCAACCCAAGTAAGTCCCAGACAACATCTGATTCTCATTTACCGCAACCAACTTTCTGTCTTTCTTACCAAGATCATAATTTCATCACCTGCCACTGGCTTCTGCAGACATAGCCTGCAATGAATGAGATTCCCAATGTATGGAAGTAAGGTTTAAACAGTCATGATCAGGACAGGATCATTTCTTGGGTAAGCCCAGTACTAGAGCACCATGTATTGGCTCTGCATTTGTAGCAGCCTCCTTGGATGATAAGGAATGTTGATATTCTGTCCCCACCTTTTCTTGAGGGCTGACCAGCATCAAAAGGCTCCTCTGGATTGGCCTGATTGAGGCCACCACCTGTCACCTATGACACAAAGATGACCCACACAACAATGAGACTGCAGTGTGCCACAAAGGCTAACCCGGTCAACAAGTGCATGCAGAAGTCAGATGTGTCAGATGAACAAAGAAGATATCATAATTCCCCTCCCCTTCCATCCTCATCATTATCATCATCATCATGTGCCCTGTCAATAAGCTGCGGTGTCATGTTTCATTATCCCACAGAAACACCAGACAGAATATTGAATCAGGTCTCTTTACCTTCCCTTGTTATTCATCAGTCAGTCTTGCAAGTTGCTCCGAAGCGCTTGAGTCCATTTCTTCTCACGAGTTTAAAGAAAATACTGTATGCTTACGTCTAATTCCTCTGTGGGTTTTCCCATTCTCCCAAAGAAATTTGCCCACCACTTCGCTGTGAATAGACATTTTTCGCCAAGATCATACAGCAGTCTCATTATTTCTGATCCAAATCCTCGTCGTCTTCTTCTGTTCTCTACTCCGGGTATGCCTCGCGGTGTCAGGACAGGAAGATATCTCTGGAAGGTGCCCTTCTGTTTGCTCGTTTATTGTGCGTATTCTGAGTGGTCAACCTCTGGTTTGATATCGCCGTATCTGTATAACATTTGCTCTCTATGGTGTCCTTTATGCTGTCAATGGCCAAACCATTTGATCTGTTGTCTGCTGATAAACTTCAGTATTTATCCTGTGCCATTCTGCTCCTGAGATCACTGTTCCTAAGTCAGTCTTTCCTCATTACACCTAGCATGGTTCGTCAACATTTCGTTTTTGTCGTGACTTCATTCTTCTGAAGACAGTGTCCATGTTCTACAATCAATGCATAGCTTTGGTAAGAATATTGTGTTGAACAGTACATTTTTTAGTGTTCATATTTCTGTCCAAGTACGTTCCAGAAATCATCAGATTTTGTTTTGTCCTAACAGGTTTATTGTTTCTTTCTCACTTAGCAAAATTATAAGTAAAATCTTACTGTAGTCTTGTTTCTACCATTTAACTGTTTGTTTAGTCAAGTCTCTGTTTTCTTTCTTCTGTGTATTGATTTGTTTGGTCAAGTTTCTGTTTTCTTCCTTCTGTTTTAGTCTTTTTCTTCCAGTATATCTCAGGTCTTTACTTCTACTGTTTGTTTTTGTACAATTTAGCATTTTATTTTGATGTATATCTATCTGTTTGTTTTATCACATTACTATTTTGTTTTGATAAACTAGAAATAGAAAGAGTTATTCGAAAACAAAAAATAAATAGAGGAAAAAATAATAGTACTAATAGAAATAAAAATAATAAACGTAAAATAGAAGTAATATTTAGATGAGAGCATGCCGAACAGTGATTTGGCTAGGTTTATAGTAGTCCTGTGTAATCATTTAATGTTTGTGGATCCTCATACTATTTTGTTTTTGTTTCCAGAACGGTCAGACTCTGGCTTGTACATTGCTCATTATGAGGTGGCTGGAAAGGATTTGGAATCCACCCACGACTGTGAGGTAGTATATTCAGGTAAGAGATTCTTCTTTTTCTATTTTAACCTTTAAAAGTATGATGGACACATGATGTTGTAGCTTACAGCTAGGCTGTGATATCTGCACTGTTTGGCCCAACAACCTTTTTGAGCAATTTTAATTAGTCACCTTTTATGACTTGCTTGTTGGGGACAGAGGGTCTTCCCCCCCCCCCCCCCCCATGGTGCCCTAGAACCCATGTCATAAGAGTGGGGGAGGAAGCAGAATCAGTGGCTTTCTGATGGCGGGAGATTAATACAGCCAGACATGTTGTAAACATGGCTGACTCGCGGGAGATTAATACAGCCAGACATGTTGTAAACATAGCTGACTCGCGGGAGATTAATACAGCCAGACATGTTGTAAACATAGCTGACTTGTGGGAGATTAATACAGCCAGACATGTTGTAAACATAGCTGACTCGCGGGAGATTAATACAGCCAGACATGTTGTAAACATAGCTGACTCGCAGAGCATGCTTAGGAAAATGGAAGCTGGCATCTTACACACAGAAGGCTTGCATCACTTGATAAGAATGATATTGTTGATTTTTCCAGAATATTTGGGTGTGTGTGGTAATGAATAGTCTGATAGATTAGCTGCTGCTGTGTGAGCTACTTTATGATAAAGGGGATATTGTAAAGGCTGTCAAGGATCAGGTCAACAGAGCAGCAGAACAGAGAGAGCATCCATATCCAACAAGAATGTTTCAGCTGTGTGTGAACAGAGGCTCTGAATGGTTATCTACCTCCAGGGGGGAAATGGGCAGATTTCTAATAGGTTTCAAATGGCACCATCAGTGTGGGGGACTAGTCCTCGGCTACTGAGTATTTCTAAGGAATTTTCTGTAAAACCCATATCAGACAAGCTGTTTGATAATAATATCTTTTAAAGGTAAAAAAAAAAGATCCTTTTCCCATCATGATATGCATCAAGCATGTAATGCCAGGCCCGTATCTTTATAGAACATTTATTACTTAGAATGGGACTGAGCATGTATGGGAATGTCCTGAGCATGATGAGGCCAATTCATTCGTTTATTTATTGCAGCTATACCATTTCTTCTAGCCTTGGTAGAGTCAGGCCAATTCATTCGTTTATTTATTGCATCTATACCATTTCTTCTAGCCTTGGTAGAGTCAGAGACTATCACATGTGTACCTGAAATATTTAGCTGAATTATCCTGGTATCATTGTGATAGTTTTTCCCTTATACTCCCATTCCTTTGTTGCCTAATGAATCATTTTTTTAATCACAATTTGTTTAATATTCCTGGACGGAAGTGTTTGGCTAAATGATGCTATGGGCGTGTCCCCTTGACTTTCACATTCCATTTTTATACCTGCATATTTGTATTTGTCACAGCAACACTTCTTTCCTGCATGGTACAGTCTAAGACTATCAGTCTAGATAATACAGTGTCCTCAAAATGTTTTTCTGAAGGGAACACATTTCATTAGTGTGATTTCCCCTTGGCTTCCACATTCCCGTGTATACAGGAAAATATATAAAAACGAACAAAAAGTATATCAGCGAGCTTCACAATATAACAAACAAAACATGAACGTTGCAGCTGTAGAGCTTTCTTTAACACATACATAGATTAGACAATACTACACAAGTACACAATATCACTTATCTTCATATCTCGTGGCAGCCAGGTCGATGTTAAGACAGTAGTCTGGCAAGGCACGTGGGGCTGGGAAAATAAATATCCTGGTATATGCCAGGGGCCGTCATTCGAGGATAAGATGAAACTGTGTAGGCAGTTCAGCCCCCTAGGATTTAGATAAAGCTGTGTTGGTATTTCAGTCCACTGGGTGCCAGAGTTCCCAAAGTGTATATAAAGCGATTTATATATTTTATTTATACTTTGTATGTAGCAGCATCATTTGATATGGAATAGAAAAAATCAAAGAATAACACTGAGGGTGACACTCTTCACCTGGAGCATGTCGTTGAATGAAGCCATTGTTGTTGTGCTGGTTTTCCCTTGTCATCCACATTTGCTGTATACACATACCTATTTTTATTTATTACAGCTGCACCACTTGTTCTAGACATGGCAAAGTCAAAGAACGTCATCGAAGGTGACACTCTTCATCTGGAGTGTTTGGTCAAAGGCTACCCTCCAGCAAACATCACCTGGCTGAAGAACGATGACATCATTGTGGTGAACCGCAGCCAGATGGACCGCGGCCGGATCATAACAGAGCCCTATAATAACTTTAACGATGCCAGGTTGATCATCAAGTCAACAACAGATGCTGATGCTGGTAATTACACATGTCTAGCTACAGACAGAAATGGCCGAACCTCTGCCAAATTCATCAGAGTTCGAGTAAAAGGTTAGTATTTGGTCTCTGTTTAATTCTTTTGGCTCTTTGAGTTCTTCTTCTTCTCCTCCTCCTCTAGTATTGCCTTTAAGCATGAGGTTTTGAAGAGGAAACAGGGGAGAGTCTTGGTATGTACTACGTAGATGTTGGTATTTATGACCTCAGATATTTCATCTATCCATTGTTTGCGTGGTCAACCTCTGGCTCTGCTTCCATTGTGTCAAAGTGACAGTGCTCTCTGTGGTGTACTGTCTGGTTTTAGTCTTGATCCATGTCCAAACCATTTGATCTGTTGTCTCTTAGTGTAGTTTAATACTGGTTCCATCCCAGCTACTTTCCTGATATCATTTGTTGCAGTGTGGGATGCTAAGGTGCTGAACTAGGTGGGGTGATGCACCAAGACTGGGACATATACTGATCATAACTTATCCACACCTCACTGCAGTCATCCTAGAAATAGTTTCCCAGCCGGGAGCTCGGCCAGCATGGATAGGACTGATGTTGATTTTTTTTTTAAAGTTAAAATGCATCTGGGAGGCAAGAACCAACAGTCTGCACACAAATAAGCTAGATCTCTGAACAGATATGCACACAACATAGGGCAAAACCAAAGTCCAGAAACAGACAGACAAGCAGTACTTTCTGCTAGAGTTTAAAGCTGGTGATTGCTGAGGAAGTTTCTGTGCAGGAGCAAGGGTTTTCTCATTGTGTATCCTGTCAGTCATCTTCTAGTTAAATATTTTTGTATCTACGTTCTGAGGACAGAATCACAGCTGAAAGAACCAGGAAATGAAATGGAACCATAATTCATGTTGCATGAAAGAGAAAAATGAGGATGGTAATAAGGACAAATGAGAAAATTTTGGCAGATTGGTTGAGAGCTGAGTGTTTGAGAAGAAACATGTCAGCGTTTGATGGCAATCATCATCATCATCTGACATGCCATTGTCTGTCACATTATAGCCCTCCATTCCATTATACCAAGTGCAGTCCTTTCAGTACTTATGGAATTGAGTCAGACACCTTTGGCTTCTCTCGGTAATGTTCATTTTAGGTTGTTGTTTTTATGGCACATCATTTCCCCAGCCAATTTCAGTACCTGTTTGGTTATTTTTTACTTGCTGCTTCTCAGGGTATGCCCAGTATATCTTCATCTATTGTGTCATATAACTGACCCTCTCAGGGTATGCCCAGTATATCTCCATTTTCTGTGTCATATAACTGACCCTCTCAGGGTTTGCCCAGTATATCTCCATCTATTGTGTCATATAACTGACCCTCTCAGGGTATGCCCAGTATATCTCCATCTGTGTCATATAACTGACCCTCTCAGGGTATGCCCAGTATATCTCCATTTTCTATGTCATGTAACTGACCCTCTCAGGGTGTGCCCAGTATATCTCCATTTTCTATGTCATATAACTGACCCTCTCAGGGTGTGCCCAGTATATCTCCGTTTTCTATGTCATATAACTGACCCTCTCAGGGTATGCCCAGTATATCTCCATTTTCTATGTCATATAACTGACCCTCTCAGGGTATGCCCAGTATATCTCCATTTTCTATGTCATATAACTGACCCTCTCAGGGTGTGCCCAGTATATCTCCGTTTTCTATGTCATAACTGACCCTCTCAGGGTGTGCCCAGTATTTCTCCGTTTCATATAACTGACCCTCTCAGGGTATGCCCAGTATATCTCCATCTGTGTCATATAACTGACCCTCTCAGGATATGCCCAGTAAATCTCCATTTTCTATGTCATAACTGGCCCTCTCAGGGTGTGCCCAGTATATCTCCATTTTTTATGTCATATAACTGACCCTCTCAGGGTATGCCCAGTATATCTCCATCTGTGTCATATAACTGACCCTCTCAGGGTGTGCCCAGTATATCTCTATCTGTGTCATATAACTGACCCTCTCAGGGTGTACCCAGCCTGTCTTTATCTTCTGTCACATAACTGACAAATACCAGTAAATCCCACACACTTGTTGTGGAAGGCTTCCTAATAGGAGCTGATCTTGCTAGCCATATGCTCTGTCACCATCTGTGATTCTCACTGCTACCTGTCTCACAATTTTCTACTGACCTGAAGGTGTTAACCTTTCTGCTGTACTCACAATTGATATATTTGCAGATCGCTTGGAATGGCTGTGGCCTGTGGTTGGTATCCTGTGTGAGGCTGTTGCGTTAGCCATTGTCATATTTGCCTGCAGCAAGATCAAGAAGGATGATGTCGATAAACCTGCAGATGAAAGGTGAGTGCGATCTATCACTTTTATTGTCACAAAATAGAGTTTCTCATTGGTAGATTTTGAAATGGATCAGTAGAAGACATGCTTCATGCCTTCATAGAGGGCTGTGGCCTTCTTGTTTAAAAACCAAAGTCTGGAAGAATGAAAAGAAGATTGGCATTGGGCTTCCTGGTCGATGCAGCATAAAATTGGTGGCAGCAAATGTCCTGGGAAATATAAGCGGGCGGTATAATGTCGACCACATCAACATTCAATGCTGATTAGTCTATACAAATCTGGCTCTGGTATTGTCTAGAGGCTAAAAAAGTTGTTTGCTTGGTGATCTCTAGTCTGGGGGGGGTTTCCGTTGCGAAGTGGTCAAACCACCTGCCTTGTGCTGTAGAGGTTGTGGGTTCATTTCATGGCTGTTTATGAGCGCAGAGACTCTTGTGTCAACACTGGTGAAACAGTGGTGATGCTCTCGGCAGGCCACTAGCCATTCTGTGGAGAGAGACCAAATCATATGAGATAAAACCTGGTGCAATGAAGCCGATCCTGTGGACTTAACATTTTTTTTTTTACCTTTAGTCTTCATCTCAAACAGTGTCGAGAGATTGGTTTAGCTGATCCTGGCTATTAAGTGGTTGCTGGTCGAGCTATTACTAAAGCTGGGCTCTCATTCTGGAGTCCCAGGTTTGAATTCTCTGTAATTTTTTTTTTTTTCTGTTGGAGGCAAAAATAAAATTCCAGCCTGCAGTTCATGTAGCCTACACTAGCCATATGACCCAAATCCTTAGCTTATAGCTTATAGACCTCTGTTGAATTAGGAACCAACATCACAGTGCTTGTCTAGCTTTTTTGTGTGCAGACTGTTGATTCCTTACCTATCAGGTAGATCACTCTGACTTCGAAGGAAAAATCCCTAATTATTCGGCTTTTGTGACCTGCTTCTTGGAGAGGCAGTGGGTCTCTCCCCCCCCCCCCCCTTTTTTTTTCCCCTTCCCTTTTTTCCCCCTCACAATTGGGCCCTGGAACCCACACAGTGACAATTCAATATTATCATTAACATTGCCCTGATTCCTCCCCAGAGAAGGACTTCTCCGACAAGGATCGGCCCGCAACAGAGACCAGGATAAACACGACTAAGACAGTTTCTCCGTCACATTTCAAGATCAGCATCAAAAACATCCATCTCTGAGCGTGAACAACTAAAAATTTACAGAACCAAACTACTGGTCTTAGAGCCTTTGTCTTATACAATTTCTTTATTGTCATCATTCGCTGTTGTTCTTGTTGTTGCTGCATGTCACACATGATTATTTCTTACTATTTTTACAATGTAGAATTGTTAACTTCACTGGAAATTTTAACCCCACCTGTAAAAAAAAATTGTAAAGCCTTTCTTATGGAACCATTGTTTTGCCCATCGAATTCTGCATTTCTTATGTAGGAATTTAAAATTTAATGCATGGGTTTTGTGTCTTTAGCTGTTGAATTTTAAAATCTATGTGAAAAAGACAACTTTTGCTGTTTATTTGATTAGCTTTACCAATGCAATTTGAAACTTCAGCTGTGAAATTGTTTTAATTTTCCTGTGTAAAATATAGCTTGCCCCAAAAATTTATTGTGACCATAGCAATTTTAACTTCTGCTGTGGAAGTTTTTAGTTTTGCTGTTGCAAAAAAAATTGTGTTTTTGCCAAAAGGTTTATTTTACCTATTATGTGGCATTTTTTAAATCTTCAGCTGGTACATTTTTAAAGTTTGTCTGTGGATAATTTAGTTTTTCCTAAAACAAAAAGTTTCTTTACTCTTGGAATTTTAAACTATAAAACTGTAACATTTTGTCTGTGGGAAATGAATTTTATCCCAATTTTTTTTAACACTACCCTTGGAGTATGTAACTTGACCTGCCGAATTCTAGAGCTTTTCTTGTGGAAAATTTAGCAATTTCCCCGTAACATTTGTAACTTCATCCATGGAATGTATTATTTAATTAATTGATCTTTCAAATTTTGTCAGTGTGTGTGGTCGTAAGTAGACTTTTTGGCACTGTATGTGGTTGTATGTAGGTTGTTAGCTGTGTGTAATCATATGTAAGTTGTTATTAATATCTGCTATAAGTAAATTGATGTATGGGTGTGCGCATACATCAGTGGAATGGGAGATATACTGGATCATGGGTAGATTGTTGCTCGTACGAGTATTCATAAGTAGCCACCTTACAATAGTCATAGAACTGCAAGTCATATCTAGCGATGCATAAATATCCTGTTACAGACTAGTTTACCCCCCAAAAAAAACTGGACAAACCAGCTTCTAGCATTTATTGACCATTGTGTAAGCAGAATCTCATTCAGTAATCACAGACTAAGCAAATTAATCAAGAATTGACACCTATGCACTCGGGACGTTCCTACTTTGGCTACATGTCCTCCATCGGGAGCCTCTAAAAAGTTGACTTGGTAATAGTACCAGCTACAACCTGATGAAAAGTCTGCCTATGTTTTCCCCTCAATGTTCAATAACTTGCAGAACTTTCACTGCGCCTCCTCTTACTCCACCTCCTGTTGAATACATTTTTCAGTTCATTAGGTGCAGGCGGGAATTGCCTGCGGACTAAAGGCACACCAGAACGAATTCAGTGTGCTTTTTTGTTGTATCATGACACCGTGACCGAATGTTTTAGTGGTGCAATAGCTAGAGGTTTGCCTGCGGCATGAATTTCATGAGTTTGAACCCACACAGGCACATTTTTTTAAAAGCCTTTGCTGCCAGGACAACCCAGCCTAAAATTGGTATTGGGAAATGCCATGGGAAGTAAAGGTGGCCAACATGATGTTGCCTGCACCACCTGTTGGTTATCAGTTGATCTATACAATATTGTTCTGGCACCAGTGACTTTAATAATCCTGTATTCTTTTTACCTGCTCTTCGGTACACTGTTACAAACAGTATTTTATTTTAGGTTAACCCACATTTAGAATAATGATAGTAATTTTTACATGACATGAGTTGAGTTTAGCTTTTTTAGCCCCTGGCTCAGTACAAATGTCAGTACTAAACTTAGGGGTATACTACTTCCAGAGGGGCCAAATATACAACTTTTGTGGGGAACAAAAATATTGTAGAGTTCTTCAGAGTCCCTTGTTAAACATAAGATGTAAAGCTATACACACCATGTTGATTGGTACACATGAATAATAAATACCCAATCACGGGTAGTATGTTGTTTGGGACAGAAAGGTATGTAGCTCATATGCTGAATAATTTCTCTGAAACAAAAATACTTCGGCCTGTGATGGTTCGGGAAAAACAATAATGAAGGGTTTAGCTTATTGAAAAGGAGGCCATGTCGACCAACATGATGGTGGACACCAGTTTTTATACCCAGGGATTCTGTTACTGTGTGGCATATCATCATTAGTATGCCCAAGGATTGTTTGGATATATAGTATATCACAGTTGGTACATTGTACATCTAAGGATTGTTTGGATATATAGTATATCACAGTTGGTACATTGTACATCTAAGAATTGTTTTGATATATAGTATATCACAGTTGGTACATTGTACATCTAAGGATTGTTTGGATATATAGTATATCACAGTTGGTACATTGTACATCTAAGAATTGTTTGGATATATAGTATATCACAGTTGGTACATTGTACATCTAAGGATTGTTTGGATATATAGTATATCACAGTTGGTACATTGTACATCTAAGAATTGTTTGGATATATAGTATATCACAGTTGGTACATTGTACATCTAAGGATTGTTTGGATATATAGTATATCACAGTTGGTACATTGTACATCTAAGAATTGTTTGGATATATAGTATATCACAGTTGGTACATTGTACATCTAAGAATTGTTTGGATATATAGTATATCACAGTTGGTACATTGTACATCTAAGAATTGTTTGGATATATAGTATATCACAGTTGGTACATTGTACATCTAAGGATTGTTTTGATATATAGTATATCACAGTTGGTACATTGTACATCTAAGGATTGTTTTGATATATAGTATATCACAGTTGGTACATTGTACATCTAAGGATTGTTTTGATATATAGTATATCACAGTTGGTACATTGTACATCTAAGAATTGTTTTGATATATAGTATATCACAGTTGGTACATTGTACATCTAAGGATTGTTTTGATATATAGTATATCACAGTTGGTACATTGTACATCTAAGAATTGTTTTGATATATAGTATATCACAGTTGGTACATTGTACATCTAAGGATTGTTTGGATATATAGTATATCACAGTTGGTACATTGTACATCTAAGGATTGTTTGGATATATAGTATATCACAGTTGGTACATTGTACATCTAAGGATTGTTTGGATATATAGTATATCACAGTTGGTACATTGTACATCTAAGAATTGTTTGGATATATAGTATATCACAGTTGGTACATTGTACATCTAAGAATTGTTTGGATATATAGTATATCACAGTTGGTACATTGTACATCTAAGAATTGTTTGGATATATAGTATATCACAGTTGGTACATTGTACATCTAAGGATTGTTTGGATATATAGTATATCACAGTTGGTACATTGTACATCTAAGGATTGTTTTGATATATAGTATATCACAGTTGGTACATTGTACATCTAAGGATTGTTTTGATATATAGTATATCACAGTTGGTACATTGTACATCTAAGAATTGTTTGGATATATAGTATATCACAGTTGGTACATTGTACATCTAAGGATTGTTTGGATATATAGTATATCACAGTTGGTACATTGTACATCTAAGGATTGTTTTGATATATAGTATATCACAGTTGGTACATTGTACATCTAAGGATTGTTTTGATATATAGTATATCACAGTTGGTACATTGTACATCTAAGAATTGTTTTGATATATAGTATATCACAGTTGGTACATTGTACATCTAAGAATTGTTTTGATATATAGTATATCACAGTTGGTACATTGTACATCTAAGAATTGTTTGGATATATAGTATATCACAGTTGGTACATTGTACATCTAAGGATTGTTTGGATATATAGTATATCACAGTTGGTACATTGTACATCTAAGGATTGTTTTGATATATAGTATATCACAGTTGGTACATTGTACATCTAAGAATTGTTTTGATATATAGTATATCACAGTTGGTACATTGTACATCTAAGAATTGTTTTGATATATAGTATATCACAGTTGGTACATTGTTCATCTAAGAATTGTTTGGATATATAGTATATCACAGTTGGTACATTGTACATCTAAGAATTGTTTGGATATATAGTATATCACAGTTGGTACATTGTACATCTAAGAATTGTTTTGATATATAGTATATCACAGTTGTTACATTGTACATCTAAGAATTGTTTGGATATATAGTATATCACAGTTGGTACATTGTACATCTAAGAATTGTTTGGATATATAGTATATCACAGTTGGTACATTGTACATCTAAGAATTGTTTGGATATATAGTATATCACAGTTGGTACATTGTACATCTAAGAATTGTTTGGATATATAGTATATCACAGTTGGTACATTGTACATCTAAGAATTGTTTGGATATATAGTATATCACAGTTGGTACATTGTACATCTAAGAATTGTTTTGATATATAGTATATCACAGTTGGTACATTGTACATCTAAGAATTGTTTGGATATATAGTATATCACAGTTGGTACATTGTACATCTAAGAATTGTTTGGATATATAGTATATCACAGTTGGTACATTGTACATCTAAGAATTGTTTTGATATATAGTATATCACAGTTGTTACATTGTTCATCTAAGGATTGTTTTGATATATAGTATATCACAGTTTGTACATCTAAGGAATGTTTTGATATATCGATATCACAGTTTTTACATCTAAGGATTGTTTTGATATATAGATATCACAGTTTGTACATCTAAGGATTGTTTTGGTATATAATCACAGTTTGTACATCTAAGGATTGTTTTGATATATAGTATATCACAGTTGGTACATCTAAAGATTGTTTTGAAATATAAGATGTCTATCATAATTTGTACATCTAAGGAATGTTTTGATATATAGAATGTCACAGATTGTACATCTAAGGAATGTTTTGATATATA